AGCATATTTTCCAGAAACCAGGGACAAAAATATGCTTTCTTTTACTAAGTTGGTAGGAAAGCACAGTGCCTTCATATTTTATGCAGAAGAAAGTGTATATTTTGGTTTTAAAAAAGTTTCGCTATTCGCGAATAATTTTCAATCTGATCTGCCATTGCATCAGCGTTTAGCAATTTCATTTTACAAGGTGTATGCTTACCGCGTAAGAAAAATCATATATTCCTCTATGTCCTTAAGAAAATACTATAAAGAGTTCATGAACGTTTGCAATAGATCTGGACTGTGCAATAGATTTTATGAGGAGCATTAGTAAGCGAACATATTCTGTCTTGCATGCATGGACATCACACGGTCTTAAAAATCTCATAATTAGAAACTTTTTAAAACAAAAATATGCATTTTCTTTGGGCAGAAAATATGAAGACGCTGGGTTTTCTTGCAAATTAGCCAAAAGCATATATTTTCAATGGTTTCTGGAAAATATATTTGAAATTATAAAACCATCGATAATCAGTAGGAAAAATGCTTGCTATTTAAGTAGTAATTTTTTACCGACAGTGGTTTCTGCAGGAGGCCAAAAAGGAGTACATTCGAAAGCCGACATCCTTGCAAGTCTAAAATGTCATAGGGTCATGCTGCACGATAATCAGTATAACAACCTCACTAAAGTAATCCTTCCTAAACGGAAACGCATTCCAGAATTTTGACCAACATTTTATGAGATCGATCACGTACTGCATTGCGGTCGTTCGCACTTACCAAATAATAGAAGAAATAAAAAGCTGTACTAGCTTTAGGATTTGGGTGTGACTAGCTGCCAGAAATGATAGCGATAGTTCGACCGTCACGTCCAACGATGTCCGCCGTGTGCTCCGGCCGTCAGTTGGGACCAGGCACGTTGACGTGTGCGTGAATTAGTTAATAGTGAGAACAGACATGCGCCGCATCTACCGCACTCTCCCCCTCACCCCCAAAAACATAATCAAAAAGACCGAAAGCCGAGAGGCCGCAGACAGACGGCACGGCCGGACCCGCACCTACAGTGAGTTACCTAACTCATGAAATGTAGGCTGAAATTCTGAAATGCATTTTCGATTAGGAAAGATTACTTGGCCGCGGTTGTAATACTGACTATCCTGCGGCATACTCTTATAACATTTCGGACTTGGCAGAATGTCGGCTTTTAAATGCACTTCTTTTTAATCTCCTGTAGAAAGCGTACTTCGTAAAAAACGACTACTTAATTAGCATGCCCTTTTTCCCATTGATTTTCGACGGTCTTGCAAATTCAAAGATATTTTATCAAAACCATAAATAAAAATATGCTTTCCTTAAGTCAATCAATAAAGAATCACGTCTTTTTCATATTTCATACTTAAGAAAGGAGTATAATTAGGTTTTAAAAAAGTTTCTAATTATGATACTTTTTAAGACCGCGAAATGTCAATTCACATAGCATCGTATCTGGTCATTTACCACTGCTTCTCATGAAATGAGCAACATGGTCCGCATCCATTGCAAACTTTCACAGACTCTGAATGATTTCTCTTTAATGGCATAAAAAATATGTGAGTTTCTTTACTACGCGCTAATGCAACGGATGATCAGCCTCCAAATTATTCGGGAATTGGAAAACTTTTTTAAAACCTAATTATACTCTTTTCTTAATTACAAAATATAAAGAAGACGTGATTCTCTATTGATTGATTAAAAGAAATCATATTTGTATTTATGGTTTCTATAAAATGTCTTTGAATTTGCAAGACCATCGAAAATCAATGGGAAAAAGGGCATGCTAATTAAGTAGTCATTTTTTACGAAGTACGCTTTCTACAAGAGATTAAAAAGAAGTGCATTTAAAAGCCGACATTCTGCCAAGTCCGAAATGTCATAAGAGTATGCCGCAAGATAGTCAGTATTACAACCGCGACCAAGTAATACTTCCTAATCGAAAATGCATTTCAGAAGTTCAGCCTACATTTCATGAGTTATGTCACTCACTGTAGGTGTACCACCGCAAACTCTGGTCCACAACAAACACTTGACCAGCGTTTATCCAACAACTCCCGTGGGTCAGAAAGTGGAGAAGATGACAAAAGTCACTGGGCAACCATGCACACGGCCTTTATATCCAGCGGGACAGCAAGCACATCTAACGGCAGGGAACCAGCTGCCGGAGAACTGCCAGAGCACACCAGTCTGCGAGAGCCATGATAAGCAATCGAAAACTTGAGCGCGTCCTCGAAGCTGAGTGAAGTATGCCCAAGGCGAAAGGGATATTTGGCGACCTCAGAGGATGTCGGTGAAACAGGGGTGCCCCCTGATAGACAAGTTGGGCAGTCTGGTCGGATGCTGACTTTGGATTATCGAAACGTTAAAAAGCTTGATTATTTCAATGCCGTCGTTTTTACCAATTGCAAACCACACGCACACATATTACTTTCTCATTGCATTTCTGGAGGGCTGCGAAAAATGACAATCGCTTAAGGAGGTCAAGAAACGGTACCGCAATTTGAAAATGACATGAGGGCTCGTAGTAACATTATTTGAGTCGGCGCAAGATAGACGCTGTTGTAGAGACGCTGAAGGCTGAAGGTTGTGGGTAAGTGGAGCCTCAAAAGTAGGACTGCAGGCAAGAGGTTGGACGTTCCGCATTACATCAGAGCTCTCATCTCAAATATTTGGGGATTGGTCAGATTCTGTTCCAACCCTCAAGTATTCGCAGCGTTTTTGTGGTTTGGTTTGATGGTAACGGCAAATAAACCGGAACTGACAATCCCTGTTCCTTTTCTTCATGCTTTTTGTCCGGACGACTTTCTGCCCTCAGAATTCGCAAGTGGACTTGCTCAAACACAGGTCAGAAGGAATCTGGGTTTCAAATCTACATAGACCGCTGCTGAAGAGTTGTCACTGAGAACACTTGTCTCCACTTCAAGAGACGCAATTAAAAATGTCATTTTTTCGGTTATAGACGTGGGGGGAATCTCAACCAGGCGCAGAAGATTCCTAGCGAGTCAAAATGAGTCTGGATTGTGTTGTATTTAGTCATTTCGCGATCTCAAACTGGGGGTCAAAGTGGGAGTTGAGGAATTTGTATAGTGAGCAAATGATAGATGAGGAGACATCAATTCACATACTACTGACGATTAATTAAGACATACCAGAGGACATTTGCTGTGTTCTCTGTTCGCCCCCGTTGTCCGTATTGAGCAGTGTAAAGTGACTTCCCACTGGTGGGGAGTTTTAAGAGGTTTAAATGTGATATAAACCGTTAGTCACGGCGTAACGTAATCCGTATACCGAATTCCCGATGTACGGTTGCTCCTTGTGTGCGTTTTCTGTATAGACTTTGGTAACGCCGCACTTTCGGGCCTTTTAGTAACCCGAATGTATTTAAATTTTATTTAAACAAGGAAAAACACTGTCAAAACGTGTTCTGATGGTTCCTTGGTAAGTTCAGTTGGATGGCCTACCGTTTACTCTCGTTCGACCAATTCAAAGGACACCATTTTAAACGAAGCTGTTTCATCCCTGAAGAGGTCGGCTAAACCTGGATTGAAATTTTGTAAGTCTGGGGAAATAGCAATCTCGATAGGGGTATGTGCATTGTGAAAATGATCTTGAAATGCAAGACTTATTCGCATAGTTAAAGTATGAAAATTTTGAACAGGGTTTATGAAACCTGTCACTAAACGGAGCATTCTAGACATTTCCTGTCACGAGTTGGTGTACCGAATGCAGGATGCCAATCTCCACGGCGCTAGACACTTACGGTACTAAATATTCTATGATTCCCACAACAAATTACGCATCTGAGCAAGTATTTTGAAGATTTCAGTAGTATATCTGCTGCTCGCTCATACTGAAGACTGTTGCAGACAACTGTCAAACTACCAGCACATTTCGCCTAAAAATCTGAATTACGCATAACAGCATCTCTCATACGTGAAATAAAATTGTCGAGGAGAGTGAAGAGTGGTAGGATGCACTGCGACCGCAAATTTAAATTTGAGATATCACTTGCCCTAATTTATGTAAAAGAGAGAATCTACTCTTCGTGGAAGTCCAAAGCATAGGGCGTCCAATAGGAGTAGTCATCACTGGTACTCGATGATAGCATCAACTAAAGATCCAAACATTTTAAGGCATCAAGTTAAAGGTCGACAATGAATGGCTGTCGGAAGCATTAGGATTTTTACAAGGGTAATGGCACGCAAACTGCATGCATACATACATTCATACCTATTCATGGGATGGCGTGTTGAAAACAAAATGCCAACGTTCATGGCGTTCGACGCTCACGGCACCAAATACTGAAAAATTCCTTCAGTAGCAATTAGCCTATCCTAGTAAACTACCTCGAGACCTCGGCAGCTGATTTGCTCCCCGTTCATACTGAAGGCAAATGACAAACTGCCATCTGCTTTGTCCAGGTCAGTGAAAAAAGCCACCGCTTTTAAATGTTTTGGACTAAATGCTTTCACAAGGCGTACATTTCGTCTCCCATTTTGAATAAAGCATAACAGAATCTCCCTTAAGTGCAATAAACTGTCTATAAAGAGCACAAGGTAAGTGCACTATTTTAATAGCAGACATTATCTGCCACCTTCTAGGCAAAAAAGAAAATCTACCCTTTATGAAATCTCAAAATATAGGGCGTCTAATAGGAGTGGTCATCAGTATTCCTCAAAGGTAACATCTACGAGCGTTCCATTCAGCGTGACCTTGAGCAAAACCTTTTAACCATGCAGTGACATTGGGTTTTTAAGACCTTTCATCATAGAAAGTAAAGGAAAAAATGGGAAAGTAGTGCAGTTTTTCGAAACACCCATTTGGAGCCGACAACAAATGGGTGGAGAAAGCACTATGATTTTTTGGTGACAGTACTAGCGCGCAAACTACATGCATTTTTGATGTGGGCTAATGCGAATGAGAAAACTTTGAGCATTAGGTGGATGTGGTTGCGTGTATAGAGCGCATCCATCTGCAGTACTCCTAAAATGCGCATTTTAGGCGACTATAAAAAGCCTATCCTTGACGTGTTAGCAGCTTTAAAGGTCGTCATCTTCTTCGATGAGACAACGTTTGTTAGGTAACATTCCTCCTTAACTGCTAAAAGGCTTTCACAAACAATTTCCCTAATTATAAATTGTATAACTCTTACATACAAGGAAATCAAAGGCGCCCTCGAAAGTTCAAGCCTAAATTGAGCAGCAAAACTCAACCATCTCACTGAGTTAACAGCCTATTTATTGTACACTATCCGGCTTATTTCATGGTATGTCACGCCAGGATGCCGACGTTTCGGCTATTTATGAAACTCTCATTTAGCAAAAGTGACAATGTAATTAGGATGAACTTTGCCCATTGATTTTAAGTGCCTTATAAGTTGAATCATATGTCAAAGAAAACAGTACTGAAAATATTTATTGTGATCATTGGTTGACGCAATATTCCTTGGTTTTACTTTCGTTCATAAAAGAAGAATGCCTTTTGGTTTCGAAGAGGTTTTTAGTTTTCAGATAACGCTTAACTCAAGCCGCAGTTGTGCGTGGTCTAATAAGTTCTAAACAAAATAATATATCCTTCCAATGTACCGTAAAATTGTCCACGCACGTAAGATTCTGCAATGAAAACTAACTATTACAGAGAATTCATAATCAGAATCAAGAAAGTGTAGATGCATGAATGAGCATTTCGCGGTATTGAAATTCTCATAGTGAAGCACATTTGAGGCTTAATGATACACCTTCTTCAAACGGAAAGTTCGAAAAAGAAGTCATTTGCTGCAAAATGAGTACAAAAAGGATGCCTTTCCCATGGTTTCTTAAAAATATATTTGATTTACATAGACTCCAGCAATTGATGGTGAAACGTATGCCACATGTGCAGTCATATTTACCGACTGTGGTCTTTGTTGGCGGATGGACAGAAGCTCATTTAAAGTCGAAATTCTGGCAAGACTAAAATATCCTGGGATTATATTGTCCGGTAATTCATAGCTCGTACTACTTTCCAATGGAAGGCGTCGTTCGGAGTTTTGGTCAACACTTCACTAAAAAGGTCAGTTACTTATTCTAATACCTCCACCACTTTTGTTTCCAATACAGTAAAAATGAGAAAAATAAATTGTTCTAATCTTTGGAAGACTCGTTTGAGTGAGTTTCTCAAATAAACCGAAGACCGAAAATTGACTTTCACAGGTTTGCGAGGACGGCCTTAAAAAACGCTTAAAGTACCATATTGAGATGCAAAATTGCTGGAGCGATAAAAAGTAATGCATCGGAAGTCATTTGCTGAGGGCTGTGGAACAAATTGTCGAGCCAAACTTAATTCAGCCTCTGTTGAAGGCAGTGAAATTCGGCCCTAATATTCCTTTCATTTTTCAAATCGGACGAGAAAAGACTTATCGCAATGTATTACGTCACTCCAGTCCGTTGCCAATTGGGAGGCAAACACTGTGTGATTATTTCGAAGAAATCGATATTAAAAAACGACGGGAGATTCCGAGTGGCATGACGTTATTCCCCCTGGTAGCGAAGCAAAAGTCTCAACCAGTTAGATGTGTAGCGTGATTGCGTGATTCCAAGGGCACAAATGTTTTCAATTACATGTGGGAGGAAAATCCCAGTCATGCCTAGAAGACACGCAACAGCTGAAGATGACCACGGGGTCTTATCAGTGTCTTAAGACTAAAAAAAAACATCAGAACAGCATGTGAGCTACATCAGCTGAAATGGCTCCGTGAGAAAAATTGCCACAACTATCACACAGACAATTGTGCTAAGCTAGCTGGGAGAATCAAATAGGCTATTTTCAGAAACACCTTTTTGACGTTCTCTGCTGCAATTTGACGAAGTAAGTGCACCTTCTGGCTCACAGTTTATGTTTGAAAATCAAATTGCACGAAACTGTCGCAGTCCGTGCTTCTTTGCCCTCCGCCGCTTTGTTAAAACGCTCTTCTGTTCGCCTCACGCCCCCTGTCGATTCGCTGCTGGGACCGAGGGAGGTTTTTCACTAACCGCGCGAGTGTTTGTAGCCAATCAACGCTGCCCCTCCACTGATTGGTCGGTGGCCACTGAGGCAGGGCAAAAAACGCACATCGATAATAACCTCGACGGCGGACACAGAGAGCAAAACTCGCCTCGGGAGACCGCTTACGGGGGCTGCTTGCAAAGCCTTGTGTACACACTTCCTCAGCAGCAAAGGTTCTCCAAACAAATCCCTTTGATTTGGGAATCTTTGTGTTGCCGACCATTACCCAAGGACAAACCCATTGGATAAAACTGTCATTGTCTGCGCTAGTTCCTGGGACTTCCAGTTGCATCCCCGAATGGCAGCGCAAATTGATAATCGCTGCCGGAGGGCTGAAAACAGCTCTACGTGCTGGAAGTGACGTTAGGTCTGAGACTAGTACAATCCGCGTCAGCTTTAAATGAACACCGTTGTTCAGATGGTGATTTATACAAGGCTAAATGCAAGTGACGCCTCAGGCTGTGACGCTTCAGTCTCTGTGGTTTATTTTAGACCCCCAATCTAAGATCCTGCGAAGACGGCTATCCTTGCTTTCGACTCTCGAATCATCTACGCATTGATTCAGATAAATGGACATATTAGTCTTCGTTATTTTTATCTGCATTCCATTTGCACCATTTACGACGAAATCAGAACTTAGAAGCCTAACCAGAGTCACTCACATGTAGATTCAAGTTAGATTGGGCTGCAAATCTATGCAGAACGCCGTCGTCTGTTCCGCAACGGACATTGAGGCCACTTACCTTCACTTGTGACGCACGAAAATCGTTCGGAGAATTTTCAACAGTGGAAATAACCCTTGCGCTTGACGCAGGCATCAAGCAAATGAGAGTTACGCCCTCTTTAGATGTCGTACTGCGGAATGCGTCGCTTTCCGATGTCGCGATGGGGCACCGTTTTGCTGTTTTGACACACGCATCTGTAATTAGGAGAGTGTGACGTCTGTGAGTCTCTTTACGTCAGTTGTCATAGGCACAAACCAGTCCTCCACCAACAGTTACTTAACTTGGTTTGCCTTAGCAGACTTTCAGAGGCTAGAAGACCGAAAGATGCAGACTGTGTTTCCCGGGCTGCAAAAGTGCAGACACTTCAAAATACCGCGTGGATTTGCAATTATCTAGCTTATTCAGGGTTTAATGAAACTTAAAAACCAAGCGACATAGATCTTACCTAACAAAGGATGTGTGGAGACCGATGATAGAGAGAAAACACGTCAGACAGTTACTAACTGCTAACTTGAATACACAAAGCACCCGTTAAGTAGACCTCCGTGGAACTTTAGCATGCCGGTTCTAGTGGGACGGTCAGATAAAGCGTGTAGATTGGGAGAGATTCGGCGGAGAGGCCAATGTCACTCTGTGCGCTAAGTAATGTCCCTACACTGATGCAACCAAAACCATGCACACTGTCTGCAATCGAGTGAAAGCAGATGCCTTCATTAGGACAAAAATAACATGAATTCGGGGCAATAGGTAAACGCATCATTTTGCCGCCCGTGCTGAATGCAAACAACCTTTTTTATGTACCGTGGTATTCATCCATTTTCACATTCACCTTTTGCTTTATAAAACGAACACGTCTTGGGGTATTTGGGCATGTGGGGGGTCTTTAATTGTTCGCATCGGTTTCAAAAACACGGGTAAAAGGCCACGCGTGATAGGTGATCAGTGAAATCTTACCCAAAATAGCCCATAGCAACGCCGTCTATTTGTCTACAGTTTGTTGTCGAAATGGAACTGCACAGTTAGTGTAGATTTTAGTGGTAGTTCCTATGGTGTGTTCGTTGTTATCCCCATTTACATTTGAATGGCCGATATGTATTCGCCGATGCAATCGACTGTGTGTGTGTGACTGGGATGCTTGTGAATTGTCATGAGACATCAACCAGAAACAACCGTTCCCTTGCTTCTTAGCCTACCGCTTAGCTACCGCAAGATACGGAAAGTTACGTATGTCCAAGACTGGACGAACTAGCAAACCATCTTCCTAAGTATTTGGTAGACCGAAACATCGCGGAGTGGTTGTGCCGATTGGCCGGATGCTCGAGTTGACAACCGCCTATGAAACCCCCTCCCTGGGGTTTTCTTAGGCAGTCAGTCAGTTTTACATATACCCCACAGGTGCAATCATTTTTCGTGGCCACACTCTTGAATTTCTTCTGGCCAATCTGCGTATAATAAGGATTCCTGGGCTGTAACCATGTAAAACGGGATAAGTCGTCATTAAACACAAATTTAGAGCCAGGCAACATCAATATTTCCTAACAAAGCATGTGCGGAGACCAATGATAGAAAAGAAACATGTCAGGCATTCACTAGCTTCTAACTTGAATACACAAAGCCCACCGTTAAATAGACCTCGGTGAAACACTGGCATGCCGGTGCCAGTTGGACAGTTTGAGCACGCACGTGGATTTGGAGCGATTAAGTATACAGGCCAGTGTCACTCTGTAAGCAAAGCAATACCCCGCACTGATGCAATCCAAACCATGCACACTGTCGCCAGTCGCATGAGTGCAAACGTATTCCTTGATCTAGAAATAGTATGGATTAAAGACAATGGCAAAATGCATGGTTTTCCGTCAATACTGAATTCCAAGCAGCCTTTTCTACATATATGCTGTGCCATTCGTCCATTTCTGCATTCACATTCTACTAGTTGTCTATGGTTTATGACCACGTACAACAGAAGATCTACGATTTTGCCTTTGAGAAGGCAAGGGTACTCGGCCGAGCCAACGATAGGATGGCCAGACTGATGCTCGAAAACTGGTCCTCGACTGGCACGCTTAACAGAGCCATAGATCTGTACCCCGCATACCAGGCGCTACGCACAAGGCTCGAGCCAGTGTGGACGAGGCCATCTGAACAGTCGAGCAAACTCACGCGTGGCCGACAGCCGATGCCAGCGGAAAGAAGGAGGGAATCCGGCCGGGGTCATGTGATCAGCATGGGATGCTACCTTACCGCGACGCCCACGAGGCTGAGACCAACTCACATGAGCCCCAACAACTGATCAGTCCGTTCAGTGACGAGGGGAAGGCTGATGAGCATGCTGACTCAGCAACAATTACGACGGCCGCAAAGGGGTCAAAGATGACACGAAACCACCAGCGGTCAGTCGCGGAGAGGTCAACGCTAAGCGGTGTCCAACGGGCAGGTCATAGTTCGTGCTTCGAACACGGATCTAATACCAGGCAGGTATCAAGGCTGAAGCGTTCAAAATCAACAGGAACAGCCAAAAAATAACTCTGATGATGGAAACGAGAAGGTTTCCAAAACGTCAACTCAAATACAATTTGGTTCACGAATTCACCCTCTCTTTTTCTTCGTCTTTGGATGCCCGTTTTACAGCACATTCTACGTCTGGGAATTACTGGGCATGTTAGGGGCCTATAGTCGTTCGCATGGGTCTCCAAAACATGCAAAGAAGGCTACGTATGACAGATAGATGAAACATTATCCAACATCAAACAAACGAATGCAGCCAATAAATTCAGTTCCGCAATTATCAATCATCACTACTTACGGACGCCTCGCTATATCCGAGACGAGTTTCTTGGGATAAGTGACTCTCCTGCTCACTCCGTCTGGATTCATGTTATTTGCCCATCTACTGTAGCTAAAAGTTTGTTTTAGTCAAGAGGGGTACATATATACTGCCAGTCATTTGGCAAGCAGCAATTATAATGTGACTGTTTGTAACTTCACGGACAAACTTGCATGTTAAATTTCCTTTGAAGATTACGATCGGAATGCGCAACTTCTAGATCCCACTGCTTGAGGGGCACATGGTAGTGGTTGGAAATAGAATTTCCAAAAAAGCGGGTGGCGAAATCATATGCTTGAGAAGACACTTCATCGTGCCTTCTAAATGAGTCCGGGTCACATGGCGAAAGAACAACTACTCGTTGGTGCGGCAATCACACAGCTCTGACCGTGTCAATCTACGGGAAGCAATTCTCACTACACGACTTGCACACAGGATCGCGAGGCTACCTTGCAACCTCTAACGATCATAGTTAGGAGCAGAAGTCAGTACTGATGGATGCAGTAAACGAAATAGCTATGCACATGATCGAAACGGAATTGATGGCCAATTAGGCAAGCTTCCATTGGGCGAAATTTGATTTAACTCTGCTGACTACTCTTAGGCGATTAGCTGTCCTGATACGCCACAAGATCTGCAAGTTGGCCAGTTTGAACAAGCAACACGGAGACTCAACCCAGACAGCGCCAACGCCTTCAGTACCTTGGCTTGGCAACCCTGCCCAAACAGTTTCCCCACCGTTTAAGATACCGCACAACATGCCCTCTCCAATCACGCCCTCACTGGACAACGCTGAATTCTTGGGCGGTAACGACGACTGCACCGTCCTCGGATGACTCACGCTGACGATGATCCACCCAGGCGCCCTACTGGTCCAAGTGTTGGGCGTTTGCAAAAAGCGCCTAATCTGTGCCGACATTCATAAAACATAACACCGGTAACACAAGAGCGTTTATGACTAAGGCATGTTCGCTTTCCAGCTGCTGCTTTAACCAACCGTCCTTGTCGATTTTAGTCGTTCAAGACCGCATAGCTCTAGGTATTCTAGATGAATCTGTTATTCCTTAATGCTATTAAACTTGTAGTATTTTCACTTGAGACTTACCAGGTACGTTCATGAATTTCCTGATAATCCTGTTAAAATGGGCAACTTATTTAAAATTAGAAGGTGCAGGTCTGGAGTATTGCGCTTGGGAAGTGCAGCACCCGTGAGGCATTTGAAGCGTTCAGTTAAGCTGTCCTGTCCTACTATCGGGCCAGGCATCACCTTGCAAGTTGTTTCTCGTCCCAATGGAAACATAAAGCAAACTTTCAAAGAACTTTCTTTTCAGGGGACTTGGTAGAATTTTGCCAGGAAGCTGACCCGAGTCATGCTGCATCAACTCTGCAACAAGCGGGAAGTATTTGGTGGAGAGGAAGACCTAGATAAGACTGGTTTTTCTCTGAGAGTGATGTCCAGGGAAAATTACTGCCCACGCGGAAAACCTGCAGACGACCAGTAGTCGCTGTGACAGTGAAAAAAACTGCCGAGTTATCGTCACGCCAAGAATTATCAACGCTAAGTAAAGCACGGGAATTAATGACATGCCTACGGACCAACAAACAATCATCGCACCAACTAAGACCCCAAGCGATGAACGCAAGTACTGCCAAATATAATGGGCATGCGGTTGCCTGGCAACCGCGCTCTAATAAAAACTCGCACCTAGTGTCTCTATTGCTCTCGTTTGTAACTACCACTGATGATGTGTTCGGTGGAGAATCCGAAACCTCTGGCCAATATACCTCTTGTTCCAGTAACCGCATCTTCTTCCTCTGAACTGCTTCTAGGGACTCGTCTGTTCCCTTCTATCAGCAGTGATGCGTACTGCACGTACATGACTTACAAACATCGGTCACAGCCTCGCACCCCCTCGCCCAATGATCATGACACGCCGACAAGGCCGTGTGGGTGGCTTAGCAACGACGAGTGTTAATAACCCCTGAGGCACTTGTAAACCCTGTTAAGCACTCGCATTTTTACCTGTGGTGTCCTCTAGTGCCTGTATGGGCTAAAGTAATTTATTTAAAATTTTCTAAGATTAGGCGTGGATTTACCGAAAATTCTGTCCGAATGGGCATCTTATTGTAAATCAGACTGTGGAAGTACGGAACTCTGTGACTAAAAAATGTGGCACCCTTTTTGACGCAATTAAAACATAGTCGGTCCTTCTACGAAACCTTGTAACATCTTTTAAGGTGTACCTCCCCCCTCCCCCCTGAAGAAGTCGTTAAAGGCGTTTACCCGCAATAGTTTTCTTATAGTTCCTTGCCGGCAAGTTAATCTACACGTGTGGCATCCCGTCAGAAATCAGCGAGGACCAATTGTAAAAGAAAAGGAGGTCCCTAGCTCTATTCCAGTCGGATGCTGCTTTCGAGTTTATATGCTATGGTAGGAGGACGCACACCGAGTCTTACGGAACTCCCTTGTTCCTTTGTGCCTTGGAGTTCTTTCTTGAGCCCAAACTCAGCTGCATGACGGCACGTACTGTAGACAGAATAGAATTACCGACAAAGACAAGGGAGAATAGAATGGCCATTTCTGACTTATTAGCCGTCGTCAGCCAGTCATACCCAACACCGAGGTGTGGAACACCCGAGGTTCGAACTCGCGACCTGTTGGTTAGAAGTCCATGCCTCTAACCACTGGGCCACGGACCCGCTGCCCTTTCGGTTGCGATCGGGAATATGAAATGGAAGAGGGGTACTCACCGATCGTTTCTACGGAACTCACTCGTTCCCTTTTGCCTTATGGGCTCTCTCTTTAGTCCAACCAGCAACCGCACAGCGGTGAGCGCCCTCTTACCATTATAAACATTCATATATCGAGCCTTTTTAATTCTCTCTGAAACAAATGAACAAACTTCAAGTTGATCCTTCGGTGCACAAGTTATTAGGCTCGGACCAGGCATTGAAATGAGTATTTAAGCTGACATTCATAAACGTCAGCCGGATAATAACGTAATATTCTTGCCTTAATTAATTTCCGAAAGAATTAAAGCGCAAACTTGAAGTAACTCCTTCGGAACAGATCTTTCTAGGCACGGTACGAAATTTGATATGACTATTTCAGCTGCAATCCATCAGCTACTGCGGAATAACCGCATATTATTTACAAACCGACAGCAGGCAGCCAGTAGAATAGAATTGTGTAATTATTTACCATACTTACAACAAACTTATTAGCTAAAAGCCCAAACATGAGTGTTTCGTCGATCTTGTGTCGCTGTCTGACGCAACTGCGAGATGTTCGGCTCATTAGTGGGTTCTCCAGCCCTTTCCATGTGTTTTTCTGATTTATTGACTTCAGTTTCACCTTACCTTGTTTCATTTACAAAGAAGGTAATATTTCAGTCAGCGGTACAAGATGGGCGGAACACGCGTGCCTGGACTTTTAGCTAGTATCTGTGTTGCACAACGTGTTATACCTTAGCCGCTAGCAGACAGGCGGCAGGACACTGACGTTTGAATGATTCACCATATCAACAGGGCGGGTACCAGCTAAATTTCTGTCTGTATGGTGAATCATTTAGTACTAATATGCTTATAATTCTCCATAGAACCACGGTAGTATGTGCTAAAGGAAGGATGTAAACAAAATGAGGTGGCTCTTCTGCGAATCCCCAGACTAGTGATAACATGAATTATCATACCAGGGCGTGTAGTGTTGTGCAGCTATCTTAAAGGGGTCGGCAAGTTTGCGGGTTTGGGGGAGGGGACGAGGTATGGCGTTAAAGTAGGAGGTCTGGAAATGCGTAGGCGCAATACTGATTTTAAAGGCGAGGTGATCGACTGGATACTTGATGTCGCCTGCGTTGGTGTGGAAGGCCTGTCTTGTTTTGACCGCATAAATTAATGATATCCTAACTTAGGCTGTAGTCTCGTTCAGGTACGTGCAAAGATTAGACACAGAGAAATGTGCCAAACGATAGTCAGTTTGTGTGCGTTGATAGGACATCCACTCGTCCACTCATATGATCGACGAGCATACGGGAGGGATTACCACATGGAGGTATGGTAAATGACGTTTGTTTGTTTCTCCTCGGGGAAGCAATTCACCAACTTGATGACGATGGCGCTTGGGTGATGCAGGCCTCAGCTGTGAGAAACCCCGGAAGCGATAGGTTTTTTTTATCTGTATCCAGTCATCTAGTGTGTCAGTGAGTCATCAGCTCAGTGCATCGTCAAACCTGCCCATATCTCTAAGAATCCTCCCCGATTACATGTCCTCTACAGAAGTGAACTTGCATCATCTTGTTTTATTTTGTCTGACGAAAGATTGACTAAGCAAGCATGCAAGGTAGGATTCATTAGTACCATAACAGTTCGCCACGGCTCGTTATTCGCGTCCTGTTGCTAAGATAACGAGTGGGAGGAAAACAACAGATTTTAATACGTGCAGAAAATCGATGCAGAAACAACAAGGTCATGGTTTTGGTAGTGTCGGCTAATCGATAAAATTAGCAACTGAAACGTAGTATGGGAGGAGTAAAGCAAAAAGGCGTTAACGAGCAAAAAGTAAGGGGATAGTGAAAATAATGGAGCTAGAGGCTACCATGGCAAAGTTAGGCTTACCACATGTTGGAGCCGTTTAAATAGATCTGGCTTCACCCGCCGTATACAGGCGCCTCCAGCTAACGCAATGTCCGTGTTGGTCGTGCCCGAATAAGCACTCGGAAGGACGTTTAAAGGTTGACGGAGTGACCAGTATCAAAAAGGCGCTTTGTAATAGAGGAATGCGGAATTTTATTTTCATGCTTTAGAAGCCATCTAGACAGGTGCTGAAATGACCTGGCTGCCAATTGCCTTTGCGTCCGCCCAATTTACTTCCATCCTCTGGCGCGTGTAAATTCATGAACACCATTTGAAGTAGCGTGCATTGTAAAGTCATTCTTTGCCCGTGGAATTTGAAGAGGCTTGGTTGGACTGCATAATATGAGTTTGGCCGCATTGTATGTCCCTTCAATAATGCAATGTAGCCCTCGTTTGATAGTTATTAAAATATTGTCGCCCTTAAAGAGCAAAGATATAAAAACGGGCTTTTTGGCCGTGTAGATTTATTGTACTTGTGGATGAAGCCTGCATTATATCCACGCTTAAGCAGTGTTTCTTTAAGGCCTACAAGTTACGCATTCGGTGAGTCATTAGAGCAAATATTCCTAGCCCTTTGGAAAGCAGGGTGTATACCGAGTTCCTTCTACCTTATATGGGTACCAAACTCGAAAAAGGCAAGTAGTGCCCTTTCCAAGTATTCTTGTGGAAAACGGAACGTCTTATGGAACCAGCTTCCTGTCTAAACATAAGAACATCCAAGGAAGATATTTTATTGTATTGTTCATTATCCATTGTAAATAGGCTCCTTCGGTGTAGTTTTTTCATAATAGTAAGCAATTCCTCAGCTTTTTTAATGTCTTCCACAATAGCGAAAACATCATCCACGTATCTTTTGTATAGTGGCAGCATCTCAATTTCGTGACCAGCTTTACTTCAGGATGACCCATAAAGATATCAACAAAACTAGGGCCGAGAGGACCTCCCATTGCTAATCCGTCAATTTGTCTAAATAATTGACTGTTAAAAAGATAGTGAACGTTCTTTTTGCACGACTTTATTGCGTCCTGTAGTGTTCCAGATGGCAGACGTGTTTTAGGCGCATGGGTACATATGATGTCTATTGTTTCATCTAGTCGTACGTTAGTGAAAAGTGATTCTACATCCAAGGATATCATGTATTTGCCCGAAATGTTTTGATACCTGATTTCTTCAATGAAATAAAAGGCCGTTATTTAGTGTGTAG